ATTTGAGCGTCCTTTTTAAGTGTTAACACCCAAATTTGAGCGTTTTTTTTAGTGTTGAACACTCAAAGTTGAGAGTTTTTTTTCGTAAGGGAACCCCTATTTTTCATTACATATTTTTATAGTTTATTTCGAGTACTTTCCAAAACACATAGATAAAATGTTTTTTGGTTAACTAAATCTCGAGTTATAAAGCTTGAAAGTTACAGTACCACCGACATTAGCATTATCTAAGGTGTCCGAACAATGGTCGAAACCTTTTGAATGTTGTTCAAGATTATGAGCTTGATAACATGTGTCAAGGCCATGATCATTGGAGATTGTTTCTCTTATTTTCATTTTTGAAATACATTTTTATTTTTTGAAAAAAGAAAAACATTATCCAATAATCATGATTTTGACACCTGTTGTCAAACTCATGATCCTGAATAACATTCAAAAGGTTTCAGCTATTGTTTTGGAAAGCTCTCGAACTAAGCTATAAGAATGTACAACAAAAAATGGGGGGTTTCATTTAAAAAATTCAAAGTGATCTTGTTCTGACCTTGACGACGCCACTCAGGGTCAAACCAATGTTATCATCTTATGTCCCCCTCGAAACCTTACAACTTTTGTCTGAAACATTTTTCTCTCAAACCTCGCGATTTCCAAATATTTGACTAATATTTGGAACAAATGGGACATCCTGTATAATTTGTACCATAATATAAATATTTACAGACTTACCGAAATGATCAACGAAATATTCAGTCAAGTGATCTTCATTCAATTTTTCGTCAGTATTATAGTACTATGTTCATCAGTATATTATCTCTCTTCTATGGCAGTTACAGACATGATTACTGTAACAGTTTATAACATAATAGATGGAATAATCTACATATTTTGCATGTTTGTGCAAATTTTTATTTACTGCTGGGCTGGAAACGAAGTTACGCTTAAGGTAACTTATAAAAATATTTATTTTGACAAGAAATAATGTTTGCAAAAATTTTGCGATCAGAATTGATGCAACCACGATTTTCAAGGCTCGTCCATATTTTGAATATAATTATTTACGTAGAGTGCTGAATTGGGCAAGGAAATATTTCATATAAATTGGATATTAATGACAAAGAGCGAAAAAAAGGATCTATTGATGATTATGAAGCGCAGCATGAAACCCATCAAATTCACTAGCAGTTTTTTAGTGACATTATCTCTGGAATCTTATGGCAATGTCAGTATTAAACTTAATACTAGAATTAACGATTAATTTCTATTATTTAAATAGTGCATGCATGAAAATTAAAAAAATTCCATTATATATTTGAGTAATTTTTATAAAAAGTTGTGAACAAAAATGATCGTCTCGACTATTTTAGTATTGCAGTTTAAACTTTAAAAATTTCTTAGATTTTAATACTTTTTACTTAATCTTTATACAACTTTTATTTTACTTTTAGCTTCTGAAAGCATCTTTCTCTGCATTTAACGTTTTGCAACAAGTATAAAAATTTTATTTGTGTGCTTTGGCAGTATTCTACGTGTTCTATGTATAATTATAAATAAAATCGTTTATCGCAGAAAATGATACATCGAAAATTTCTATTATGGTTAGCGTTAGTGATAGATGTCACTGATTTGTATACAAGATTAATTAGTATTGCCAAGACGTCCCCAATTGAATGTCATTGTTGGAAATAAATGTTCCTCGCCGTAATCACTATATTGATTGTGGTGTTTTCACATAGAGACGCTATCTGACGGGCCCTCTGTCGGAGCTTGGTGTTTGGTTTTTCTTACTTTTGCCACACTGCCTTCTTGCTTTATTAACCATTATGGCGGCTCAAAGCGCCACAAATGCAAAGCGTCATAAATTCAAAGCGCCTGCCGATAGGCAGCGAAGTCCGCGGCCGCGCGCGCACCGCGCACCTGTCACGTGACGCCGACAGGCGGCACAGTTGGCCGGGTGTCGCGCCGTGCTATTTTATCGCCGGAGCACCATCAGGGGTCCCGCGACATATACGATTTCGCGTATGTGAAAAACATTCAGCAGGGGCATATAGGCTCCGAGCTACGGTCAACAACCACACTCCTCGCTCTTCGGAGCACACCCAACGAGGTCGAAATACACTCGGATGCCTAGGCGCAGCAAAGCTATATTGAAAACAGCGGCCCAGTGCCCTATTACGAGAAGAAAGCAGAAGTTCCTTGTTTCGAGCAGTCCTGGCAGCGGAGACGAGAGGGGCGAAGGTCCTGTCTCGGGAACCCGCGACGACAATTAAGTGGAAGTTAATTCCACTCGATTTGTCTTCTGTCAAACGGACCAGATCACCTCGAGGGACGCTCCAGTCCAGGGACATCCGGATCTGGCGTTACACTTCGCCGAGACACTACCGGGAAGTACCGCGGACACCGGAACGCACTCCGGAGCTCTTATCGGCAAGCAAGTGGGAATCACCTGTCAAGGGAGCTTCTTCGCAAGCGGTCCCGAAAGTTCCAGCGCCGCAGATCGGGGTCTCTCTATTAGTCGAGATAATGGCTGGGATCCTGCAACATCGCAGGAGCCTCACGTGGAGCAGCCCGAGGAACAGCGCCTCTCACGGCGGACACGGAGACGCGCCAATAAGGCGAGACGAGACTTTCGGTGGGGTTTCATCAGGGTTACTACCCACCCAACTGCCGATCCAGTAGCGTGTTGAGGCGTGTTTTTGGAACGCTGGCCTTCGGGCCACTGAGCCAATACAAAATCAGATACCGCTCTCTATAGAGACTTGTAAATAACATTGTATATAGAGAAATAAACGTGTTGTCCGTGAACCGTATACATATTCATCATTACGACCACTCCCATGCTCTCCACGAAAGGTTGCGAACACAACGTGATTGGCGCACGCTCTTCGCCATAACCATTAATGTGCTTTTTGTCCTGTATGCATTTTTCTGTTTGCATAGTATGCTCTAAATATATATTCTCATATTCAATTTCACACGTATCGTCTTTATACAAATCAATCCTCAAACAGATTATTAGACTTAATCTGCGCTAGTTAGTAAAACGACTAGACGTGTGATATTATTGAGATTGAAGTTAAGAGAATTAACGACGGTAGACGGAAATCAAAGAGAAGCAAAATTGCTTATTGAAAGCTCGAGAGAAATTCGAGAGATTGAGAGAAATTCGAGTTATTATCGATCACAAAGCAACATATGTTCGTTGGAAGATCGAAGTCCGTGATGTTCTTGAGAGTTATTAAATTTGGGAAATCACTACTGGAAAAACGATTAAGCCAAGCGAAGTAAAATTTGAGGATGGCATCGTTACTAACATGAAGAAAATTGATGACTGGAAAGGTCAGCAAAGCACGGTCTGTTATTCGATTAACTCTAGATTACAACCGGCAACGATGTTTCAGCCGGCTGTAAACGAAGTCGCGATCGCAGCCGAGGAGCCGAGCGTTCCAGCGACCAGTGCAGAGGACATCCCGGCACTGACGCCGCTCCCGCTACTCATAAGGACGCCGATACCGTCAATGATAGACAATGGGTTTTCGCCCGACGAGCTGGAACTGGCGAGGGCGATAAGAAACGAGATCGCCGCTCGAACGTCGCCCACTCCGCCGACGGCGACTCACAAGGGAAGTTAGTGAACCCGAAAATTCAGAAAAATCTGAAACTTTGTGTAAAAGTAGAACAGTTCATCCGTAGTACGAAACTATTTTTCGTTGGTGCTCTATTCCGTTTTGAAGGGATGAAATCACCCCTTGAAAAAAATCGTTTTTTTTCTTTCGACATGAATATCGTCGAAACTATAAGAGATAAAAAAAATGTTCTAAATCAAAGTTGAATGGCTTAAAGTGTACTTTATGATAGTAATAAAAAAAATTTTTTTATATTTTTTTTAATGTTTCCCCCACCACTTCATATATTTTTTTAAATTTTATAATTTTTTTATGACCAAATTAAAGCTTATTTTAATACGAATTCAACCATGTGTGATAAAGTTATTTTCCAAAGTATCATTTTCGAGAAATAATTACAAACGCCTCTATGCGCACACCATCCGTACTCGCTTGCGCTGCGCGCACCCAGCAATTCTTCACGTAGCACATTCTGCTCGCATTTTTTGCATTTAACAAGGGATAACAATGAAAGGAAATCTATTTCCGCAATATTCTACGAATGTATAACTATGAATCGTTTTTATCGCGTACGGCTAGACAATGCTTACAAAGAAAAATTTTAATGTTGTAAGGTCAAGTCAAATCGGTGTAAATAACTTGTCACAGTCTGGGAACAGCCTGTACACATTGTTACGCCCGTGGTATTGCACCCGTGTATCGGCGAGTTTCCCGCGTCGACCGGTATCGATCGCAAAAGCGGACAAGAGAGGATCGTCCTCTTAGTTACGGTTGTTATCGGTGATTCTGGACTTTGACAGCTCTGTATAGAACACTCTGTTTCTTTATTAATAAAGTTCCTCTTTATTATAACATCTCTAAGTTTATTATGCGAGTGCGGAAGTGCGCGAGAGTCTCAAGTGCGTGTCGCGAGTGCCGCTTTGCGACGAGCGTAACATTTTGGGGGCTCGTCCGGGATCGAACGATTCGAACGGACGAGCGGAGAGAACGCACGAGCGGATTATCTTCAAAGAGTACCGCATATATGGCTACAACGAGGAAAAGGCTCCGCATTGAAACTTCGCAGCCCTCGTCAGAGATGTTAGACATGAGAACCGTAATACAGGAGATCCGGCAGTTGCGAGAGGAACAGACGCGGAGGGACATGGAATCCGCGGCGTTGCTTCGACAGCGCGATGAAGAATTACAGCGCATCCGCGAGGAGCTTCGCGCCTACCAGATAAGTCTTTCCGATAACGGAAATTTACGTAATTCGCGTGTTTCGGGAGATAGGGTTATGAATGCGGTAGAAAATGTCAGCGGTAGTAGACGCGAAGTAACGAACGAATATCGTGGGGAATTAGGTTTCAAATTAAAGCCCGATACGTTTGACGGGGGAGTACCGCTGCGAGAATTCATGTCGCAATTTAATCTAATTGCAAAAGCGAGTCATTGGGGGGAGAGGACGAAGGCTATCGCGTTAGCCTCATGTTTGAGAGGAAAAGCGCGATCGGTTTTAGAATGCGTGGAAGATCCAGATAATTTAGAATTTTCGGAATTAAAATCAAAATTAGAGTTACGTTTCGGTGAGGGTTATTTATCTCAGACCTATTATTCGCAATTCACGAGTAGAAAACAAAAATTTGGAGAGGATTTAGCTGCGCTTGAGTCGGACATCGAAAGATTGT